AACTCCAGGAGACCACAAAAATTCACTCCAGAAATGTTTATTAGCTACAACCTCTAGCAAGAATCTTCCCAGACTGAAACCCCATTTCCCAAGTCAGCCAGCCACAACAATGTGAATTCCTCAGGGAGGTGCCAGTCTCATCCTCTTATCTCTCCCTCGCGCGTCAAAAGATGAAAGGTAACGTTTTTCTCCCTGAGTCTGGCCTTCATAATTCCATTCCATCACAACACAGATTTATGTTTGATGCTCATAAAAAAGAGGCAGAGTTTTGATTGCATTGTCACAGCCACCATCTTAACTTTTTTAACCATACTCTGTGGGCACTCTTGGCGCACAGAACAATATTTTGTCCAATTACTGCAATCCCACTTCTTACAATCCAGTTAGAGGTGGCAGTACCTAGCCAAATAAGATCTCAAAAATACCAGCTGGGTCAGATCTGGTTAGTAGTAGATAGGAGACCATTAGGAAATTCCACTGAAATAGAACAAGTTTTAGTAATATTCCTTATTTTCTCTTACAGCTGTAGTGAAGAGTGAAAACCTACTTTCAGAAAGATGTGTTAAAGAAAAAGGTAGTGGACTTTTCAAAACCAGGTGGTGTCCCATCGAAATCCTAACCAAGTCTAACCCCAATGACCTCTTCTGAGATCAGCTAATGTTAAGTAAGTTCTCTTGTAACCGAAGTTACAGTTTAAAATGTTTCTTGTGTTTCTACTACCCACTAAAACATGTAGCACCAGGGTTAATCATTGTTTCTACCCTTTCAGCTTCTTAATAAGAATCAGTCCATCTTTTGGGAGCCCTTGGATTCAGCTTTGTTCCCCAGTCCCATCTCCTTGAGCACTCAGTTGAATGAAGTTATCTCTGCAACGGCTCTCGGCAAAAACCCACCATCTGCTCCTGTCAATTAATCACATCAGGGCTTCTTCCCCAACGCACAATCACCGGAAGTTTCATTGTTCTGCAGCCAGCCCCAGATGAATACATGGCTGTCTCCACCAAGGCCAGATACACTTTATTGAAATTTCTTATAGAAGTGACAGTGATAGATGACAGCAGCCCATTCAAGCCAATCATTGCAGGCCTTCCATAGAACAGTAAGTATCAGCCCTGCAAAGTAACATATCCACAGCTAAGATAGTAGTCAGGATGGCTATTTTCCCTGAGGAATGCACAATACAGTCCATTTGAGGATTAAATAACAGGATTGTTTAAAAACAGATCTAAAATATATGGCACATGCCCCATTCCTGATACAGTTTTATTTCACACTGCAAATGGGAAAGCATAACTGAGTGTTCACACCCGGGGGGGGGGGGGGGGGGG